GTATTAAGAACTCTTAAATTTAAATCTAACCCAAAGCCATTAACCTAGGGTATCCTATTACTAACTAACTACTTATAAATTGCCAAACCTTGATTGTCCAAGGTTGTTTCATATCGAATATCATCCAAAAGAATGAATACATTACTTTTAAGGAGATCTGCAAGTCAAAGTCTCAATCACAAAACAATGTATACATCATTTCAAAGACAAATCATAAGCACAAAACAGCGTATCCAAGTCCAAGAGCTTAACAACCACAGGAAATATTTGGTAAATTTCATTCAATCACAGAAACAGCAAGCCACAATAGAAACCCATTAATATATAATTCAAAACCCAATAATCTCAATCAATCAAAAAAACCCATAAATAAATAAATAAACAAAAACAAAACCAATATAAGAACTCACCACAATGAAGATTGACAAGGAAGGTGTCCTGGCTTTGTGGTGGAAGTTGACAATGGAGGTGGCAAGTCAAGACTATGGCTTCATCGTGGAGACCAACAACGAAGGTGGCGAGTCGTGCCTTGGCTAGGGTCCTGTCCAAATTTGGGGTTCAACTTTGAGGTTGAAATCAGCTCTTAGTTGGAAGATATAACTAAGATGAGATAGAGCTAGGGGAGATTCTATGGTTGAGGTGGATTTTGTAAGGTTTGGCAGAAGGAAGAAAAGGAAGAAGAAGAGGAAGAGCAACAACTGAGAAGAAAAAAAAAGGGAGTTTCACTAAAACACCCAAAATGGAGGTTGAAATTATAAAAAAACCCAACACCCAAAACACTTTATAAACACACCCAAAACCCATCATTACACACACTCAAAACCCATTTATAAACACACCCAAAAAGTTGACTTTGGGGTTGATTTTGGGTGTGTTTCTATGTTTAAATAGTGCTTGGGTTTTTTTATAAATACATGTCTAGAATTGGGTTTATTTATAAATTTGTATTGTAAAAAAAAAAGTGAAGGATGGGCAATAGGCTGTCAATAAGGAGTTTTTATAAGGGGCATTTGTGATTGAGTTTCAAAATAAGGATATTAGTGAATAAATTAGGTGAGCCAGGGGTAAAGCTGCCAATTTCCCTAAAATAAATTATTAGCCAGCCACTTATGAGGCCCAAAAAATCAGCTGGGTCAGATCTCCCAAACGGGTCAGAACCTCCCTATAACAAGGTTTGGTCTTCGAAATAGCAACATAAGCCAAATCTCCAACTAGGTTTGTACAATCCCAACTTAATACTAGTTGGTTCTCAAGTTGCAGCACCTCCAATCAAGATCAAAGTCTCTTATACAATATAAGTAATAAATAACCGATAAATGGGAGGTAAAGGAGAAATAAAAAGAGATAAAAGAACTGGAGTTGTGAAAGGAGAGAGTGTAATTAACAGTACCTCCAATACAGTGTCGCTGGACCACGAATTGTCTCTTGAATGTTACAACCCCACCAATATGGTGGCTGGTTTGAGAATACAAGATACAGTGGCGTTTGAGCTCGTTGAAAAGGAAAAAACATGTAGCTGGTGGGGTTTTGCTTTATGAGTCTCGAAATTAGATTCTGCATATGTAGTGGCTTTAGATCTCATAAATAATATTTTATTCAAATGCAAAAGTCCCAACACCAACCATCCAAGAAGTTTAAATGAAGGGCTTTTGGGCCCACATTTAAACAAGAGGGAAAGACCTTACTGCCTTGTACAAATAATTATTCTCAATGCCCATTCAGCGCCCTATTTGATAAATAGGGTTTTTCGCAGTAATGATCTCTCAACTATACCTGTAGTTGCATTTGAGTCACTGAACTCAATTATTAGTTGCAGAGGTCACTCAACTATGTGTTTCGTTGTGCTAGTAGTCCTTCTGTCAAGTCTGGCTAACGTGGTGTCAATTTCATGGGCAAATTTGTCTTTTCAAGTCTACAACGTCCAACCTCTCATCTAAAGTAACTTCCTTCCGAAAAATATCAAATCTGGTGCCAAATAAATCCCCAATTCCCATTTATATTCAAAGAAATCCACATAAAAACAGTAGATGTGTTGAAATTTTGGAAATTCGAAGGAAATCTGGGAAGCCCACACAGTGCATGAGCAAAAATGTCTCAGATTTCTTCTTCATCAACAAATCAGAGCCTTAGTGCAAGGAAGCTATGCAGGTGCGGTTGATATATCAAAACCGGGACTTCATGGACTGATTTAAATCCTAGGAGAAGATTTGAAAGGCTTGTGAGAGGATATATCAAAACCGGGACTTCATGTACTGATTTAAATCCTAGGAGAAGATTTGAAAGGCTTGTGAGATGAGTCGAGTAAGTTAATCTGTGAAATTTGATTTTGTTTCTTGATGGGTTTAGCTTTGATGTTATGAAATGTAATTTGCAGAGAAACAGAGGAAATGGGCATCATTAGGAGTGGTTGGACGCACCGACCTGTGCAAGAGGAAAAGAACTAATTCCTGGGTTGCTGAGAAGAATGAGAGCAACGGAAGAGGACCAAAAGTTAATAGAAGAACAGAAGAAAGAAGTGGAAGATAAGCTGAAAATGGTGGAGAGAGAAAAGAAGGAATTGGAGCAAAGTTGGAGAATTTGGCAAGCATAAAAGACTGTTGGAAGAGAAAAGAATGGGCCAACGACCAAGAGAGAATCAGATTTGGGGGGTTTCATTTCTGTCATTGGGTCTTGGTTTTTGGTGATTATGAGGATGCTTTGTATATTGAGCAATTGGTTGACATTTCCGAGTGGAAACTATGAAAAGCTTATGATCAATTAGGTAGAAATGTAACCGATATGTAGTTCATTTTGCAATGAAATTTCAGTTCAAGTTTGGTGAACATATTGGTGTTGGTGTATTCATTTTGTTTCCATTTTGTTGATGAGAGGGCATGCACCAAATGTACCAGTTCCAAAATGTACCAAATCAGCATATATAACACCAGCAAGGATTGAATATCGGCCGATACATAGATATATCTGCCGATATATCTGTATTTTCAACTGTCGACACTGATATTGGGGGGTAAAGCCATATCTTCCCCTGTATCGACGATATATCCCCAATAAGTGCAATATCCCCAATATTTGCCGATATCCCCGATATTTCCCGATACCCATAATAGAACCCAAAAAAAATTCAGAAGTTTTGAAGGCAATTGAAGCAAATTGAAACCAAAAAATAACTAATCCTTGCCCAGAACCCTATCATTTATTAATATGAAAAATCTATGCACAGTCCATTGCCCACATACCTCCAATCCATCTGAAGAAGACATGGAGATCAGTTTTGGATCTATGAGCATATAAACTACACCTAGTACTAACTCAAATGAATCTTATGATGGCTATGGTTATGTTATGTCTGATTATAGTGGAACTAGTTATGGAGCTCAAGATAATAAAAAAAATTATGGACCTACTAGTAGGTTAATCCTAACTATCCCATATATGGGAAGATAATAGGGAGCTCAAGCGATACCTATGTGAATCATGTTCAAACATGGCTTACAAACTGCTCGGGTTACATGACTGGGTATGACTATTGTATGAATTTAGATGGTTGTTCCTCATTGTTTGTACCTCATAGGAACTCTTCATTTATGTAGATGGACACTTATCTAAATTGTAATCCAATGTTTAAACAAACTATGGATTTATGCATGGTTTATTCATTCTAATTAACATTTTATTTTCAAACTTTTCATTTACACGCATTACATATAACTTATATTTCATCATATGTATATCTTATTATTAGTAAATTTTGAGTTTTATTTGTTCAATACATTCATTGATAATATACATAACATCTATGAAAGTTTTACACCAAAATTATGTGTTTCAATGCCTATATCTTTCATTTTTGTTGATTTCTTCACGATACCTAAAACGATAACGATATATCCCCCGAAATATTCGTAAATTGGAGGCTCGATATTATCTGCATGGCCGATATTTTAATCCTTGAACACCAGTTCCAAAACCCAGTTCCAAAATGTACCAAAGTAGCATATATAACACCCAGTTACAGGTTTCAAAATGTACCAAATTAGGTTCCAAGTGAAACAGAAGCATAAAGATAGATGAAGCAGTTTCCCAGTTCATGTTCCAAAATGTACCAAATACAAAACAACCACAGTAAGTTCCAGCCCAGAGACTCAAAAAACACATCCAACAAATCATTCATAAAACACATCTAACTACTTCAAAAAAGACATCCAACAGACATCCTCCTCGTTAGCCTTCAAAACATCCATAGTCTAAGCTTCTTGGCAGGAGACTTAAATCTCTTGGCAGGAGACTTGGGTGGTTGTGATGATGATGATGTAGCTCCAGTATAAGAGAGTGGTTGTGATGATGATGGGAGTGGTTGTAATGATGATGGCTTGTTTGGCATTTATGTTGTCCCATTTCCAACCTAAAATAAAATGGAACCATATTAACTAACTAAAGTACATGAATTAAATTTCTAACCAAATTAACCAACCAAAGTAGCATGACAGAGTTGTCAGTTACATTTCCTCTTCCATTTGGCATTTCTCCTCTCCCTCTTCCTGTAGCAGTTCCTCTACCTCTCCCTCTGCCTCTAGTTAGGCTTGGATGATTAGGCTGGGCCTAAAAAACAAAAATAAACTAAACAATAACAAAAAAATGGTCATATGAACTGGTTTGGCCTAAAGACCCAAAAGGAATTAAATTAAAGAGATTTGAACTAAAATACCTGAGCTACCCCTTGGACTATAGAAGAGTCAACTGTTCCTTAGTTGGGCTGATTAGGAAGGGCCTATAATAACAAAAACAAAAAACTAATTAAAGTAAATAATAACAAAAAGAAATTAAACTACAAAAAATATAACCCAAATACCTATGCTGCCCCTTGGTTGGCATGCCATGTCTTATTACGTCCCTCCTGGCCATAAATAGAGCATTTTATCTTGACATAAATCCTTCTCAACTTAGTAGGTGGTGGATTGAAAAATGGGGGCGAAGGATTTGGAGGAATTGGAACAGGTACTTCAAGGCTGCTTCTTATATGGAGGAGGTTTAATTGGAGGCCAATTTGTTCTCTGCCACTGGTCCATGGATGGTATTGGGTGTACCATAGGTTCATATGAACTTAGGTAGGCTTCTTTCTTATAGCATTCATGTGCATAGTCAAACACATTTGCCTCCTTTCGAAGGATACAAGAAATAGCATGAGAACATGGAATCCCACACAAATTCCATCTTCTACAAGAGCAAGTCTTGGCTTTTAGATCCACTACATACTCTCCCTCATACATATAGCTCACTTGGTATTTGCTCTCACCTTCTAGTCTAGGAATGCATTGACTAGCTCCCAACTTGTTCTTCTCAATGATCTTGACAATCCTAGGCCCAACTAGATGTCTCCAAACCGTACCAGCAATCCTTCTATTAGCATCCTTAACATGATATAAACTATAATCCTTTCTAGACATGTTAAGATAGACTTGTCTCTTGAATCTAAAATGTAAGAGTTAAAGGATTCACAGAGGTTGTTCAACAACAAATCACACTTAAAATGTGGCTGAAAATGAGATCCACTCCAATTTTTGGCAGGTCTTTTCATAACCCACTTCCACTCCTCTTCATCTTGCAATTTCATCTTGTTTATTTCTGCTTCATACCATGGAATGGTAATTGCTCTTGCTGCAGCCCAAAGAATGCAAAGCCAACATGCTTTGTCATGAAGTTGTTGTAGAGATGCCTAACGCACATTTTGTGCTCAGCTGTTGGAAGCAATGTCTTAATTGCAGGTATTAGACCTTTTTGCTTGTCACTCATAAACACCCAAGCTTTCCCATTCTCAATTTTTAAGTCTTCAATCAAAAGTTCAAGAAACCAAATCCAACTACTTTTTGATTCCACCTCTACAACAACATAAGCAACTGGGTACATTCCATTATTCCCATCAACACCAACGGCTGTTAAAACTTGCCCTGTGTAAGGTCCATTTAAATGGCATCCATCTATACCAATGAGAGGTCTACATCTTGCCAAAAATCCCCTCTTACAAGCTTCCAAAAATAAAAAAAATTCTTTCAAACACAGGTCTTATTCTTTATAATCACAGTGCTGCACTTCTTAGCCTTATTCAATTCTTCTGCATAGTCCCATAGCCTTGCATATTGCTCCACATAGCTACCTTCAATGATCACCTTGGACAAGCTCTTTACTTTATAAATCTCATGCCTTGAAACATTCATATGACTTTTCTAATACCTCAGACTGGAATGCCCCTACATCCCACTCAGGATTTTTCCTAATCTTGTCGGCAAACTTTTTTGACAGCCACCTTGAATTAGTATATTTCAGTTTGTCCACTCTAGTACACTCATGCTCTAAGGGGAGAGTCTTTATGGAAAATGTTTGCTCATCTCTGTCTATCTTGGAAGCAAACAGAATAAAAGGGCATTTCGTGTGACCTGCACACTTTGCTTGAATCCTTTTATTATCATTCTTCACCAATTTAACATTCCTCCCTTGCACAATTGCATACTCCCTTATAGCTTCCTTGAGTTCATCCTTATTGCCAAATTGCATTCCAATTCTAAACTCTGGATTTCTCAAATCAGTTTCTTTCCTAAACTGTTTAAAATTTGGCTTCTTCCATTTCCTCCTGCTTGTCTTTTTTTGACCATCTTCCTCACCACCAGAGCTATCATCATCATAAGGAAGTCAATCACTATCTTAATCATCATCTGATATCTCCCATGTAGCTTCATTAAGAGGTATTTCATTCATCTCTTTAAAACATTGTGCATATTCAACATTTGGTGCATCTTTCCTTGGTTGTGCTCTTGATGCAGCCTCTTGATTACCATTTTCTTCTTCTTCACTTAATTCAAAATCACTGTCAACAATAACATCCTCTTTTTCCTCCTCTTCCTCTTCCTCTTCCTCTTCCTATTCATCTTCATTGCCAACATCTTCACTATGATGTTGTTGCTCTTTATCTTCACTCTCTAGCTCGTTGTTATGAGTAGGATCATGGTAATACAACACCAATACCTGATCTGATGAAATGCTCCCAACCAACCCTGGAATACAACTATCATTTACAACCTCATTCACAATATGCTGACCACTTTTTGCAAGCCCCTTAAAGTAAAATTTTAAGTTTGTAACCCTTTGTGTTATATCAACTTTGTATCCAAGATCTATCCCAATTTTCTTTAAATCCAATAATGACAGATAGTCATGAATACAGTTGTCAACATAGCATACTTTGCCTCTCTTATACATGTCATTCTCCAACATACCAAAGTGGTGGAGTTCAAGAGTACACAGCTCTTCTTTATCTACCACATTACACAAAGGTATGCTTACAAACAATTTC